TTATGCCGGTGTGGACTGTCATTGGCATTCACACACCTCCTCACAGTCAGGTGATAATCACTTATTCTAAGAGAGGAAGTCATCCACACTTACACAGACTGGACAAAGTACACTGGCACCAGAATGTTACTACTCAATCTGCTTCTCTCTCTCTGTCTCAATGCCTTAACAAGTGTGTATTGGTGTGCAGAAACTCTAGGAAGAGGCTGCTAATGCCTTGAAAGAAATTAGTATAGTTGACTTTACACAGTCAGTCTGTAAAACACAATGGAGCTGTCTGAAAGAGGCGACAATGACACATTCACAACCAAAGCATTTTGTCCTGTCTGAATTTTTTTTTTCTTCCAGTGCTAAAAACTTCTCTAATTCAATTCTTTTTAAAAATTATTATTTTCCTCTCTTCCTGATCTTTTACTTAAATGTATTAAAGCCTCAGTGAACACTCAGAGCAGAATATCTGTGAACTCTGTGAAATTTGTTCATCTGTATGTTAAAACAGTGTTAACTGAACTCTAAACTACATCCTACATGGATCATCTGAAGAAGCTGTGAGCCAAATGGAACTGAATAAACTCTATTTAACACTACGGGTTTTCTGGAGTGACATATGACAAAATCTTTAACTAGGTCCTGTCTCTTTTGCAATTTGATGTCTTCATACTGTTTCCTTTAGTAATTAGTATTAGTCATTAAGGGTGAGAACAGACCTACAAGTACCTAAGTGTTCACCTGAGTGACAAGCTGGGGTGGGACATGAACGTGGACAGACATTCTATGAGTCTGTTGTGTCATGTGCCATCTTCTACGCTAATGTGTGCTGGGGCAGCGGCAACACTACAAATGACACCAACAGACATTAAGAGAGCTGGATCAGTCATGGGGTCCAGAATGGACACAGTGGAGATGGTAGTGAAGAGAAGGATACTGTCCAAGCTCACGGTCATCATGAGCAACCACTCCCAACCAGTCCATCCAACAATCACTGCAGTGGGAGGTTACTCCTGCCTCGGTGCAGAATGGTGTGCTTACACAGGTCCTTTCTACCTGCAGCCATCAGACTCTACAACTCAACACATAACTCCTCCACCTGGGAAGGAACATCGATTTTTCTGCACTACTTTTTAGATGAAAGAAATCTTACTTGAAGAACTTTGCTCAGTCCAGTGCTGCACAAAGACACTTTTTGCACACTATTATAAACATGCATATGAGTGTATGTGTCCCATTTTGCACAAAATCTATTTTTTTGTGTATATAATTTCTACATTTATTTATACATTTATACATATATTTGCATGGTTGTTTTTAAATTTTTAGGAGATTAGCAGTCTCTAAGTCACAGAGATCACACTTCTTCCCCATTCTGATGTTTGATTACCTGAAGCTCTTGACCTGTATATGCATGATATTATGCACTGTGCTGCTGCCACATGATCGGCTGATTGGATAACTGCATAAATATGCTGGTGTACACGTGTTCCTATTAAAGTGGACAGTGAGTGTATTTACCTAAAATGAACTTAAATTCTACTTTAGTGTATGGAGTACTCATCAAACTCTTACTGACATATTCAGCTTTTATTAGCTTTTAAACCACTGTTACCTGATGCTACCTTGAAGCCATTTAGGTTATTATTTCTTGCTCAATAATTTGTATAAAGAGGTTTTAAATAAGGGTTATTGTGCATTATCGCAACTAATAATGCAATAATTACTCATTTTCACCTAGCAGCTGTCTAGTTATGCAGCAATACAGGTGCTGATGAATAAAAACTAATACATAGTGAAATAACCTTTTACTGGTGTCTAATTTGACTTTATTAAACAAATAACAGGACCTTATATAGCCTCATATATGCTGAAAAAAATGGAATATTCAGTCAATCATATTTAATTGACAATATTATGTATAGTTTACACAAGAATATTATGTTTTTCATCAAAACATGATTTCATTGTTAATACCACATTTAATTTAAGTGTCCAGTCTACTAGTGTGAATTATGTTGCGTGAGTGGAATCAAGTCACATAGTTCAATTACGTTGTAAAATCTTGTGAGGATGTTGGCGCTGACGGAAAGACATGACTATAGTATTATTTTAACTGGCATAATTCAATCCTGAGCTTGGGTTTGATTTTACTCAGCGCTTTGAAAAAATACATGTTCAAATCACGTTGGCTGTGCGAAAACAAATTAATGCAACTCAGTTCATTTAAGTGAATCCAATGTACATATTTAAATTAAGTAAATTAAATGAAGATTTTTTTTTTTCCAGTGTATGGGTCATTCTAAAAAATATGGTGACTTTGTGACTAGCAAAGTGTTCAAATTTTAAAAGGTGGTTTCATATTTCATTTGGAAATTGTCACTGTAATGACATTCTTTTTGAATGAATAACCAATAACCTTTAATGTGGTGCCATTACTTTAAGTCACTGGAATTATTGTCACCAGCATTATCAGGATGGGCCATTATACAGTTACAGTGATGAATTTCCATTAAAGATGTATTCTATTAAATCTCTTTTTTAATAAAAATTATTTTATACAAAGATTGAAAAAGGTGTAACTCCACAAGAAAAAAAAAATTATTTCAGTAAATTAGTAACTTATAGAGTGTGGAGGGAAACTCTACTGATGCTAGCTGAAACGGACACTCGCTCTTCTGAACTTTGAGCCTGGAAGCACTTATCCATAATTTTTTTGTGATCTGAAAAGACACTAAATAATTTTTAAAATAGCTAACATTTTAATTCTGCTAATTTATATATTTGATAGACTTCATACTAATGATCAGCCTGTGACATGAAAATGAATAAGAAATATTTTTTAAATGTCAAGCAAAAGCCTCTAAAGCAGTACAACTGGCTTGCGGAAGTATTTTTCAAGCACTCTGCACATTTTCAAAGAATTGTTTTTTAAAGTGCACAATAATAAAGAGTCAAAGCATTTTTATTGCTTAGGAACCTTTAAAGTTATACAGTAATGTCTCTTATGTGGGGCTTCTTGAAAATTTTAAAATGTCATGACTAATAAGGAACAGTGTCACCATATTCTGTGACTCACTTTATTCTAAAATAGTGTTACCATTGTTAACAATGTGTTAACATTACTGACATACAATTTATTAATGCTGAGGTTGATGGTTTGCTGAGTTTATGTCACGAACTCCACCCTCAAGCATGCAACATGCTTCTTTTTTTGTTTATTATGGCCATGTTTTCTGGTTTATAGTTTGTCTTTGTATACTCTTTTATTCCTTTGTCTTGTTACAAAGTTTAGTTCACTTGAGCCTCCTGCCTCATCAGCTCGCATGTGACCTGTTAACTAATTCCATAAATAACATAAAGCTCTGCTGAGAGTGGTACCTAAGTACCTAAAGTCTGCTCTGACTCTAGGTTTTAGAGGTGAAAAGCTTTTTTTTTTTCATATGTGTGTAGAGCTATAGAAAATAGGCTACACTGATTTTTTCAGAAAATAGACAAATTGATGTTAAACATACGTGTGTGGGGTGTGTGTGTGTATGTGTGTGTGTTTTACAGTGGAAGATTTGGCCTTACTGCACTGATGTCCCTGGACAACGACATCCTTGATGGCCAGCAAACCACGCTGGCCTGAGGTCACAGCTTCAAATATGATCTGCAGAGGAAAGAGAATAGTCCATAACCACAGTGATAAATGCACCCCTTTAAAATGTCACACACACATGCAACAAGGTGAAGACCCCCAGGGGGCCGACACAGAGAGGCTTAAACATGACCTGTAGTGTCAATTCAGCAGGGCTTTGGGAATAGGAAGGACACTTGAGATACAGTTTAGCCACTGCTATTGTACTAAAACTCATAATTAGCTGACTTCACATTACATTTACACTTGAAGAACACTTTGGAATGTGCTGTTATTGGAAAAGAATCAACTTTGTGGTGGTAACAGCAAGTCCGCTTCATTGTGTGGTTCATTGTCTGAAGGATTATCAGAGTGTCTCCATGAGCTAATCCTATAAAACAGAATCTATATCCGGCAGACCACGGCCAAATTGTTTAAAGGCATTCCTATAAGACATACGGAGTTGACGTTAATTCAGGGATCGGCTAAAATTAAACATACAGCTGCCCATACAGAAAACATGTGGCACGACACTTGCGTATGTATTGACGAGACCTATTTTTATATCATGTATTTTATGCATTCATAATTGTTTTTGTCATTAAAGAGACAAAGGGAAAGGCTTTTAAAAGGCAGGCTGAGAATTTCTCTTAACACTTACTGTCCACAGCTAGTACTAACACAAATGTTATAATAATAAGGGAAGCCAACAAGTTTGCTTAGTTATATAACTAGTTGTGCAAAAGAAGCCAGACACACATGAATACCAGACATTCCTCATTCTCTGGGTGTGGTGTACCCCAGCCATTCCTCATGTAGTAACCCACAGCATGCTCACATATCACCCTGCTCTTTCAATATATACCCACAAGCAGAAGCATTCATTTGATCTCACAAAAATTTGAGCAAAAAAAGAGAACAATTTAACTGACGTTCAGAGCTACATCTTTGAGACAAAGACACTTCTTCTATTCATTCCTGCTCATCACATGCGTATTATATCTACATTTTTTTGCCTGTTTTGTGTATAATATGCAATTTAACTCATTACCTTGGACCACCAACTTATTGCAGTATTCCTGTTTCAAAATGGCTGGTTAGATGCTAACTGCATTTCGTTGGCTTTGTACTTGAACTCTGCTCAATGACAATAAAGTTGAATCTAATCAGACAACATTTTGGGATGTGTTTTGACTTGTGGTACAAATGGGGTTTGGACACACAGAGGTTGTTGTTCTTTCAGCTGCTCCCATTAGGGGTCACCACAGCAAATCATTGGTCCGCATATTGATTTGGCACAAGTTTTACACCGCATGCCCTTCCTGACACAACCATTTCATTTTACATGGGCTTGGGGCCAGCACCGAGAGTACATTCCCAGTGACTGGGTTGGTTCCCTGGCTGGGAATCGAACCCAGCCCACACCAGTGAGAGCACAGGATTCTTAGCCGCTTAACCACCAGGGACCAAGGCTTGGACACAGATACACAGCTAAAATTAATCCCAGACCTACTAAACTGTTTTGAGCAATAAGATTTCAGAGTGAATTTATACTTGCATAGTTACAAATAATCCTTATATGATTATAATCTAAAAACACAATATTACAAGAATGTCCAGGTTTGAAAGCTGTGGTCAGACTAGTAGGCTGGAAAGAGCTGTCATCATAATGGTAGTGGGAAAAAAGGATATTTAATGCAGGCAACATACTGTAGAGTCACTCGCTATCTTCTAATAATGACTCCTGTGACTCCTGGAATCATATTTAACCACCAAAAGGGAAATACTTGAAAAGGTTATGAAGTCACAGAAAAGAGATAATGGTTATCTATGCTTTTTTATTTAGTTTTGTAAAAGAATTGCAAATGCTGTATGAGAATATGTTGTAGAGAGAGAGAGAGAGAGAGAGAGAGAGAGAAATAAGAACAGGCTTTTGGTACATAAGCATACAAAAGAATGAAGAAAATCATGTTCAAGAAGAAGACACTAATGTTTGACCTTAATTTCTACTGCTGTGAATAGTCCCATAGATATTTATTCCCAATATGCTCATACTGAACATAATTTCCTCACATTAGTACTGTTTTTTCTTTACAATATACAGTTGTAGATGAGTAATGATTTATAATTGCACTATCTGGTGTCACCCAGAAGAGGATGAGTTCCCTTTTGAGTCTGGTTCTTCTCATGGTTTCTTCCTCATGTTGTCTCAGGGAGGTTTTTTTTTAAGACCATAATTATAGGGGTGTAATGATACACTCCAGTAACGATTCGATTCACAATACAGACTTCCCGATTCGATTCAGTTTGATTCTTGGAATACTTTAAACAAAATTTGAATGAAGAAAAATTATGGCTGAAAAGTCTCCTTTTTTATTTCTGAATCATAAAGTGAGTCGTCATTTTAACCAGAAATAGAGCTCCAAAGTTGGCTAAAATGTCCGAATTCTGTTGCCTCGCTGTAGTATGCAGAGGCACAGGGCTGGTGTCGTTTGAAAGCTACTGAAGAGCTCTTTTTAATTGTTGTGATGATTCCCAATAATGGCTCCCCATGGAAGAATGTGATCATGTGACCATCTTTCTCTATATATATTTTAACTTTGAGGTCATAATTAATATAATGCTGATTTCACACATTACACTATGGCACACCTTCACACACACTACGATGCACAATGCATCTTTACACCCTCACCTAATTATCATCCGTTCTTCCTCTAATGAAATTCAGAATGCCAGTTGCCTTGCTGTCTGACAGTCATTGCAACATGGCTTAGAGAAAATTAAGACTGAGCCACTCACTTAGACACATAGTGTATCAGCCAGCCCATGCGGAATGTGTAATTTGTTTAAAACAAGCAGCAGTCACCACCAAATGTGGCCTTGATATCATTTATATTACTTTCATACTAGAATTAGGATCAGCAGGACAAAAGAAGGCATCTGAGTCAGCCTGTACTATCTGAAAAGAGTGAATTTTTTCAGTGAAATGGTCTGGATTTGATGCAGTGTTGGGATTTTGACTATACAAAAAATATACAGATTCAGAAGAATTTTGCGCTTCAAAGGCACCAAGTGTCAAGACGCTCCGAACACATGGCATAAACAATTAAAAGTTTTGGTGTGCATCCTGTCTGCAATGTAATTAGAATGAAGAAGACTGAGAAAAGCACCGAATCAACCCCATAATTACAAAATAATGTCCAAAGCACCATGTGGTTTCATTCTGACAATCACTTGGGATACTGTGCAATTAAAGCTACCTATAATTACTTTGACTTTGCTAATTAGGCACGAATCTATGGAGTACTGTCTCTATTCTTGTCTCCATTCACTAAGCAGAAATCATCACATGCTCTTGGCGGGTGAAGCCTTTCAAAACACGGAAAGGATAGTTAACTTTCTGAGGAGTCAAGACATGTCTTCAAAACCCTATAAGGAAAGAGACATGAATATAAGTCCATAGAAACATTTGGAATTTAGTAATATTACTGCTCTATGATGTCAGACATACAGATGCATTAGAATGAACAGATAATGTGTTCTAAAGAGATACAAATACAGATACGAATAGAAGGCGGACTAATTTTTGAACGGTCCACTAGGCATCTCTAAAAAGGCTCACAGGGCATTTGTTTGAGACTAGAAGTGTGAATTGGGACTGGATGCACAAAAACCAAGCAAGTGAAGGTTTTTTACTTTTATGCGAGTAGTCAGATATGAAGCTCGTGGAACAAACAAAGACCACGTTCATTAACATGAATGTACATGAGAACTGCACAATGCATTTACATCGTACATTCATTCATCCTTAGTTGCAGTGGTTTAAATTAGGATATTAGTTTGTATATATTTTAGCAAATACAACTGACTATATTCATTGGTTTTAAAGATGGATGGAAAGACAGATGGATGGATGGTTGGCTTGTGATATCGTATCTAATATGCCATCAGGAGGCATGGCCATACACACACACACACACACACATTTATATATATGTGTGTGTGTGTGTGTGTGTGTATATATGTATATATCTGTAATTCATGTTGTATATATGTTACATCATTACAGTGGAAAAAATTCAGGAAGGTGGCTCAGAGTCAGATGTAGCTGCAATCACTAGTATTAGTGTTTAATCAGGTTTTTTTTGGCTTAATTAGTAGTTAACAAGGTCAGAGATGCTGCAAACCTGAAGTCAGGCTTGTAAATAAACCTAAAGAGTTATTATCGGTAACTAGGCTCATTATCAAATGTAAACAAAATTACATAAACTATGCGTGCATGTGCTCTCTGGTGAACAGCATCAGAGATACAGTACTTACAATTGATTTCTTGTAGTCCTGATGACAACACATTTCATTTTCTTAATTTATATCTCTGTTCATGTTTTGCCAGCAGCACAGGCAAGTAAAACTAAGACGCATCTGAGAAAGATGGTTTGTTGTGCTGCTCCTATGTCAGACCACAGGTTATTAAGGTTATTAAGAAAACACATATTACGAGATACAACATACTTTATTTTTGTCTATCTTAAAGCTGCAGACACCACGTTTTCCGACAGACATTTAAAACGTCCATCTTGATAGCCATTGGCGATTCCCAATAATATCGTCAATCATCCCAAGTCTAATGAATGGGTGTACTTTATTGATCCCCATGAGGAAGTTTGGGATATTATGTGTAACATATTGTGGGTACAAACCAGTTTGACCAATTATGAACTCAAGTGATGTAGCTGAGGTTGAGGAACTGTCAGATTCAAACACCATGCTAAGTACTAGAATTTGCACCAACTTTTTCCCCCACTATTTTGGTTTAAGCTATACCCACTTTGGAGTTAATTCCAAATACAGACACAGCACTAAACGAATACATATACAAGTAGAGATAGTGCAATTTCAGTATACCCCATATACTCAACAACAAATGCACAGAGGTGTCAAATTCACAAAACTGAATTGAGTTGAATACATGTCCAAACACATGTGCATGGCTAACATACTTTACATTTCTGAGCTCATAGCCTTAACCACGTTAAACTACCACTTGTGTTGTCAGTATGTATGGTCCTCAGGTCTCCTGCTGTCCTGATAGGGTATCATTGCCTCAGAATTACCCTCGTTACTCTGTTTCCAGAATGGATATGTTGTAGATTGGTTGTCATGGCATACCACTGGTGTACAACTCCCGCTTTTTATCACCTTCTATAAGAACTCCTGAATCAAAGCAAAATATCAGTCAAATTACAGACAACTGCGTGTTTTTTTTTATCTCCCTTAAGTGAGCTGGTAAAAAAAATTGTTTTAATATTTCTTTAGTCCTAGAGATATATGAAGCTCGCATTATGTCTAAACAGGATTCCAGAAGCTTAAATAATTTATTCCATACACATATAGCACCTACTGAGAATGGATGGCAGAAAATAATTCAGCCAGAACCCTTTGCATTTAAACAGCGCTTTAATGCCACATCTATACATGCTTTATAACTAATCTATAAATGTAACATGATTTGCAATAAATGAACATGTTCCTAATGAGGCCTGTGTGCTATGAGTGTACTAGCCACGTCTCATCAGAACCCATCTGTCTGCTCCGCCACTGCTGGTTCTAATGGGCTAATTTGGCTTAGCGGCGCTCTCCTTTGCGAGGTGCGGGGGTCTTGGTCTGCCAATTAACACCAGTCTTTCCTCGAACCCTGGAGAGAGGACACCTAATAAGCAGGCATGTGTGAAATCAGCCTCCTCTCTGTGGACCCCAGCGTAGCCTGCCACACGTGAAAATGAACCACTAGACAGGGAGAGAATGTAATTTTTTTTCTAATATAATAGGGGAGGGTGGTTTTCATTATTTTGTGAGAGAGGGATAGAGAGTGTGCAAGAGAGAGATAGTGAAGCAGGGTAGGAGGGTAAGGAAGTGAAAGAAGGCTACACAGAGAGAAATACAGACGTGAGAAGATGAAAGGATAGACAGATGACATGTTCTGAGGTGTAAGTGTATGGTTGATTATGAAACCATATACCATTATATAAAAATGTAAAAGATTACATCCAATTACACACATAAATAGTAGATTAAACTCATTTACCTTTGACTTATAAATTGGCAACTCAGTTTTTCTAAATATGCATATAAGATACAAATTATTCAATGAATGTATTAATTATTTTGCTACAGCGCTTTTGAATTCTCGGCTCTGTTTGGTCAGAAGGTGTTCAACTTTCTATAACAGCAGTTCAAATCAGGTATACAGTAATGCGTTCATTCTAATAGGTTATCGTTTCTATAGTAACAACTTACACAGAGACTTGTACAGTGGACACTCCACGTAAATTGATTTAAAGCATGTATACTTGTTGACAAGTTGTCTGTGAGGAGATGTTTATTTAGCATTTTTGGAAGGAGTCTCCAGTGTCAGCGCTTTTCTAACATTCAGAGGCAAAGCTGTTTTCTGACAGCAGAGAGT